AACATCTAGGATGGATTGCAAGTTAGGCTGGGTGTGCACAAGAATAGCACAGTTGTTAGCATACTGTAGGTTGGTAATAATAGTCCTGATTAACTTTGTTTTAGAATGAGGATACTGCATGTTCAGGAGCTAGTTTTCCATGTGATACTCAGTACCAGTTCCAGAATGTGATCATGAATAAGAATCAAGATCACAGCAAGACAAACAGAAAAAAAGATTGGAACAGTAGCACAGCCCTGCTACAGATAATAAAATAGACATTTTTTACAGCAGGTGGAAATTCCTTGTTAACTCAAACCTTGTTAAAAAGAAATTGATGAAGTTTTTGCACAAATGCTGTTCTACCAGCTTTGAGGACTTCCAGAGGAATGCTGTTTGGACTTGGCACCTTGTTTCTGTATTCAGTAATGGCATGTCAAACTTTCTTAGAAGATGAAGTGTCAGTAAGAAGTTCTATTACAGTATACTGAGGAATGGACTTGCTGGGGTCTTCTGAAACTTCACATTCAGGGTTCAATAGAATCTCAAAATGTTCCATTCAGGATTGATTGGGGGCTATGTTGTTCTTAAGAAGAGTGGAGCAGTCCTGAGAGTGCACAGGAATGTGCTGCTTTAGCTTGGCCCATCAATGGCATTTGTTGATTGGAAAAAAAGCTTCTCAGTTGATGTTGTCCAGCAAATCTCTGGATCTTCTTGGTCTTTGCCTGTCACCACTAATGTCACGCAGCCTCCTTTGAACTACAACTTGAAGATGATAATACGTCTCTCATTTGTGCTGGTTAGAGGGTTCTTTGTGCCAAGTGCAAAATTAACTTCTCATCTGATGAAGTAGTGCTACAATTTCCTCATTGTTCTCATCAAATCAATCCTGATGGCAGTGATAGAGGAATTCACTTAATTCACCACATGCCTTGTTAATAATGGTCTTGAACTCTTCACAATTTGTATATTATTGATGATCTCAGGTAAATCAGATAGCCTCTCAATAAGGCTTTGTTGAAGGGTCTCACAACGAGTGTAATTTTTAAGTGCCCTGATGTTAAATCTCTTCCACATTTGTTTCTGTTGTATATGGTTTTGTGTTGCAAGATGCATGTTTGTAATTGATCTGACCAAAATGATGGTCCATCCAGCAGTCACGTGTACCTCTCATGTAATATGGACATCAGTATGATCGAGGGCTCTGATGATGGCACAGTCCAGAAAATGCCATTGTCCGGAATGCAAATGGTATCAGATGGTCTTATATTTGTCCCTCTGCCTAAAGATGGTATTTGTGATAAGCAAGTCATGCTCCACATATTTGCTGTGGAATAGAATGCCATTAGAGATGGTTTTCTCTGTCCCTTTTTTCCCCTATATTGTCTCTGCAGAGTTTGGGCTGTCACTCAGTTCTTGAACTTAAGTTCCCTCTGATGTTAAGTTTGTCATCTTTGGCTATGGCAATCAGGACTGAATCAAAAGCACAATAAACTGCTCCTTGGTGTCATCATCGTCATCATGTATGGAAGCATATTCACTGATGACTGTGGCATACTGGTTATTACTAAGCTTAACACAAAGAGTCATGAGATGGATTGTTACTATCCACTGGAAGTTCTAAAAGCTGGCTAGAAATTTTGTTCTTATTGGCAAAACCAACACCATGAATATACCTGTATTCACATGGCTTCCCTTTCCAAAAGAATGCATAGTCATCGCCATCTTCTTTCAGTTAGCTTTCATCTAACCAACAGATCTCTTTTAGGGCAGCAACATCAATGTCATGTCTTGCAAGTTCTCAAGCTTTTATGGCAGTTCTTTCAGGACAGTCAGGGTATGTCTAGACTGCATCCCTCTGTTGGCACAGGGATGCAGATTAAGCAGGTTGACATTGCAAATGAGGCAGGGACTGAAATATCCCGCACCTAATTTGCATAAAAACGGCCACCGCATTTTACTGACTCAGCACTTTATCAGCAAAAAGTAGCAGTCTAGAGGGGGATCTGTGGAGAAAGAAAGCGTTTTTCGACAGATCCTGTAAAGATCCTTTCAGGAGGCATAAGGGATCTGTCGAAAAAGGCTCTCTTTCTCAACAGATCCCCCTCTAGACTGCCGCTTTTTGCCGACAAAGTGCTGAGTCGGCAAAATGTAGTGGTCATTTTTATGCAAATTAGACGTGGGATATTTAAATCCCTGCTTAATTTGCAATGTCGACCTGCCTAATCTGCATCCCTCTGCTGACAGAAGGATGCAGTCTAGACATACCCTCAATGCTTAGAAAATCTATAAAAGTATGAGCTTCACTACCTTGATTTGTATGTTCTGACCATAGAAAAAGTGATTCCACTGGACACAACCATCCAGCTTGCGGGGACAGCCTATGTTTACTGCACCTTTTTAGCCCCTTCCGCATTCAGGGTTTGTAGAGGGAATCCTGGGAAGGACCACTCAGTTGCAGCTACAGTTACCAAATTGCACATCTGTCTCACAAGTCCAAGCATAAGTCGACCAACACATAGTTGCTGCCTGCATTCATATTTGTGTCGAGGGACTGAATCCCAGAGATCACTGCTCCTGTCCCCATCACCATTCATCCATTATCACAGGACTTTTGTGCGAGATGTTAGCACCCTCAGTGGAAGCCTACACATTAAATCTAAATGGGGGAGCTGTTGCACAGGCTTATGAAACTTAACAAGAAGGAGGCCTGGACATAGTAGAGGGGAAGTCCAAAAAAACCAGAGGTCTCTACCCTGTTGTAGGACCTCATTTGCCTTCACAGCCCCAGAAAACTAAAAGGTCCTCAAATACACCTATAGAGAAGGTAAGGAAGGAAGAAGAACAGGAAAAGAGTAGTGGCCATTAAAGCTATGTCTGTCCTGGAGATATAGCTACCTTTTGATAAGTGAGATTTTACAAGGCTAAGAAATACCTTGTACAGTCTACAAGCAGGAAAAGGTTAGTTTACCAGTAAGTAAATTTTTGAAATGGCAGTCTTGTCCTTTCTAAATGCTTTTAGAGTATCATCTCCTTCAGTCTGACTAGAAATCTGTGTGTTACGAGACACACAAGTTTCAAGACTGTGTGATTGCTCCTTTCCAATTTAATTTCCAGCCTCATCGGATTTTCTGTAGAAAAAAAATACAAAGCAACTTGAGTTTCTTAAGAGATCATAACAGTATCAACATTGATAATTTTGCCTTTAAATATATATTTATCAGGAAAGTAGAAAAATTTCAGATTTACTCCACAAAAAGATTCCTTACATTCAGAATATTATTAATTGGAAGACACTTTCCCTCATCTTTCATGAGAAACGTATGTAATTTAAGACAACATTTTAAATATTTTTCTATATGTCGGTGATCCTATCACCCTAGTCTGGAACAAAACCTTTTGGAATTGCAATGTAATCTGCTAATGTAAGATGTGTGTCTGACCATGACTGAAACCAACTTGTGTGTTTTTAAACTCAGCATTTCTCTGGAATCAGTATAACTTAATTGAAATAGCTCTGCATGTGTAAACAACTCCTTTGTTTAAAGAAGATTTAACTGTTTAGTTTGCCTTAAGTAAATGTTGCCTTTTGTTTGTCTGTAAAACATTTGATTAAATGTAGAGGCTAATATAGAAAGCTCCTCATTATTCCACTAGTGGACTATAAAATGACCTAGAAGTATTGCAAGTTTTGAGGAGGCATCAAACAGTGTCATGTATTGAAAAAACACAAATACCTCTTAAACATCTTCTTTAAAAAGAGTCTACATGATTCTAGTATCAGACGAAGAACCTAGATTAAACAATGTATTCCATACTGAAATTATTATTGAACATAAATGATTATTGAATTTCCAATATGAAATGATTACTGAATTGTAATTATTATTGACTTTTCCATTCAAATTTTTACCTAATTATTGTTTTTGAAAATACATCTTGATATGAAATTAGCACAACCTAGCACAAAGAATATGATTTTGTTATTTTAAGTGTTTCTGTAGTTTGCAAACCAATAAATGTATTATAGCAGAATCTCTTACCAATTGAAATGCCCCAGTAATTCTAATAATTGTTGTATTGTGCATAATGCAAAAACTCTATTATATATTTAAATATTTGTATTCAGTGTAAAAGTGTTATATTGAAACTAAATATTCCAATTTTTAACTGTGTCCTTTTGAAAGTTCTCAGTTTCTCTTTTAGTTCAACAAGCAAACACTTAGACACACTTTTAGAAAGACTTACATATGCGCTTAAAATACATGTTGTGAGCAGTTTCATTGAAGTCAGTGAAGCTATCACTGTACATAATGTTGAACACAAGTACCTGTCTTTGTGGCTACTTATGCATGCATTTTATTTTTATTTCTATTTTCTGTTAAAAATTCAACTACATAAAAATTAAGTCACTCTGGAAACTAGCATTGGCCCATTTACCATTTTGAGAGGCAATATTGTCTGTCTGAAGAGATTGTTCGGAGTCAGGAACCTGAGCTTAAATCCCAGTTCTGACACTGACTTGCTCTGTAGGCCTTAACAAGTCATTTTACCTCTGATCTTCAGGTTTATCATCCATAAACTCTTTCTTATACAGAAATCTTCAAAAACAATATTGAATTTAGTGGTAGCTTTTCATCCCTTTAAAACAAATCCTTAAAGTTGTACCTTGCAAACAATGCTTGGACTGTCCTTGAAGTCCCATTCTATGGAGCTGTAGTGCCCCTAAGCAGTGTTATGTTCTTAAAGGCAAACTCCAAAATGGACCTCTGCTGTTACATTTTGGGATATATTTTTAGTGATGATTTAGAACTTAACCCAAGTCTAATTAAAGTCAACAAAGAGACTTCCATTGACTTTAACAGGAGCTGGGTTACACTCATTGTCAGTCTCCCATTTTCTGTGCAGCTAAATCTCTGTACTTTTCACAGTAAAGAAATGTTGTTTGTTGCTTGTATATGGAACACAAACGAGGAGATAGTTGCAGCTGTATTCCTGTATTAAATGTCTTGTTTGTTTAGGCAATGCTGGATGTTGCCGCAAACCAGGGCTGGTTAGTGACTGCTCTGAATATAACTAGTCTGGTGCAGATGATTATCCAAGGCCGATGGAAACACGACTCTTCTCTGCTTACTTTGCCCAATATAGAACAACACCATCTTCACCTTTTTAGGTATGTGATTATTCAAAATGTTTATAGTTCTTTCTAACTCTTCGGGTACGTCTAGACTACAAGCCTCTTTTGAAAGAGGCTTTTTCGAAAGAATCTTTCAAAAAGCCTCTTTCAAAAGAGAGTGTCTAGACTGCAACCTCTTCTTTCAAAAATGTGAGCCGCTTTTTCGAAAGAGAGTGAGCACCCAGGCAGTCTGGATGCTCTGTTTCGAAAAAGCCCTGTTTGCATTCAAGAACGCCTTTTTTCGAAAGAACACTTTCGAAAAAAGGTGTTATTCCTTGTGAAATGAGGATTACCGCCATCGAAAGAAAAGCCGTGTTCTTTCAATTTAATTTCAAAAGAACGCAGCTGTAATCTAGACGCAGGTGAAGTTTTTTCGAAAAGTCTACTTTTTTTGAAAAAACCCGGCAGTCTAGACACAGCCTTCATTTTCTAATATTGGTTGAAATTTCATTGTGTCCTGAAATGTTGTTAATAGAGTAGAGGCTAAACTCATCTCACTCTTGCTATTTCCCTCCCAACAACTTGTTTGTTTTTAATTATTTATAAGTTCACCCCACCTCTTCAGAACTCATTAAATGTTTCAGGCAACCCTGGATGGTATTTCAGGGTTAGATTTGGTGGAACTGGAACTCCTTCCAAAATTCATCCCTTGTTCCACTGTCTTAAATGACACAGTGGAACAAGGGCTGAATTTTTTGAATGAGTCCCAACTCCACCAAATCTAACTCTATTTATATAGTGATCTATACTATTTACTAATAGAAGTACACCCCTACCTTGGCCTATTTTAACTTGGCCATGCAGTACTGTACATCAAACTGATATACAACCCAGGTAATATAATAATTATTATAATGCAAAAATAAATTACTAGTATTTAGTATCAGAGGTCAGTGTTGAGTCCTGATATCAAAATATGGAAAACAAATATTCAGTATCTCCAAAGAATGTGCCTCATAGCAAATCACTTCTAAATAACTATAAGAATGAGACTCTTCTGTGGCAATAGAAAATCATACTGTTAAGACAGCTAACCCCATCTTACTCAAGTTTGGGGATTTCCTATATATAAAGTGTAAGATATAAACTGAAATTATTAATATTACAGATTTTATTGAATGGTGAATATCTCTTCTCATTATTGAACTCGTTTTGAATCTGAATAGAAACTGTTTAATGATCTTTGACCTTGGGCTACAACATAATTAGCAATACATTTTATTCCATTTTAAAACACTGTGTCCAACAGCAGATCTGATCATTTTAATCAACCTTTCAGATTCTATTGTTTATAATTCATTAAGGAGAAAGGAGCTTCATTCTTATCAGGAAAATTTTCAAGACAATAATCTGAGCAAAAGGCATCAGATACTTTCATGTAATATCTACCTTCTCTTTCTTTTCCTTCTTACCACCCTTTTCTAATCTACCTCTGTAAAATAGTTTAATGCCACATTGGAAATATGTTTTGTTGTCTTTGTCAGGAAGTGGAACCAAGGCAAAAGAAAGAGCTTGTGTGGAGGTTATCAAGGACCTATTGAGTGTCTTCCGGAATTGATTGCTGTCTCTGAAGGAAAAGAAAATGTTTTTACTTCCATTGTAGACAGTGATTTGCAAGCTGTACACATTACACAGGTAATGCTTTCTGTGGTGATTTTAGAGTTTATTGTAAGTGTGATTGGAAAGGAAAAGTAGGTGCGAAAGTCTTTTTCCATCCTATCAGCAAATATCTTCTTATAGTCTGCAGAATATAAATTTATAAACTGTACCATATTGTTACTCTAATTTCAAGAAAGATCTAATTTTACAAGGGTTTCCTCCCACCCTTCTTTCTTTTCTAGTTATTCCATCCGCCCCTTCCCTGTTATCCATCTACTCCCATATGGGTCATAGCTGATGTTAACACTGCTCCTTGGCCTGTTGGAGATGTTTGTGTAGAACACTCAGTCCACTGATAGTTATCCACCTTTTTTGTAGTCATCTATGCTCTATGAAAACACGCATTAAAATATAGTTGGTTCCTGAAATATTCTTTCAAACAGAATATTTGCTGGGAGTATATTTTGTAGATGGTCCAATGTTCAGTTTCTGTTTTTGAAGATAAAAATCCTGTATAGTCCCAAATTAATTAAGATATCTCTTGCCCTTTATTTCACTTTTTAAGCTGTTTCTAAATCTTAGCAGTAAATATAATATTAGTAACACGAATATATTGATCACTAATAGACATGTAAAGGAAAAAAACATCAAAATGTGTTCTGGCTTTTAAAAAATTCTTCATAATTGAAAGGGAACTACAGAACTTGACAATTTAGATTGTATTAAATCTAACACTGGCATGAAAACAAAAAGGAAAGCATTTAAATGTCCATAACCGATATCTGCATTTCTAACTAAATTACCATCAAAATTTTGAATAAAATTATTTAAATAAAAACAAGGCCTTCTTTAACAACAACACATTTCTAACATAATACATATTGATTTCAGTCCAAGTTTTAGATGTGATGAAAAATTAGAACATTGTTATAATTAGTTCAGGGAGAACTCAGAAGTAAACTTACTTAATTTATTTGCATAAATTGCCATTCTGTTATCTTTAAAAGCAAATGCAAATTGGCTCTGTCTGATATGATGATGGTTATTTGGCTCAAAAGTGCTTCAATTTGCGTAGCAATCTGGTGCCGTCTCTGCAGTGAGGCGATCCCAGGTAACATACAAATCCTGAATTATTCCAGAAATTAGTATGTTTAAAGCATCAATTTAAGTGCTAATTGCAGTAGTAATGAGAAAAAGCAGTACTACTGTGAGATTTGCATCTACTGCCCCATCAGTATGCCTGGAACGGCTGCTGACTGGCAGAGGATTTGGCTTCTAATTAAATAATTGTATGCATGGCAGTGTTCTCGTCTGATTCAATAGATGAAGATTAATCCTCAGATAAATATGTTTGGCTGGTATTGAAATGTCTTAGCAGTTTCTTCAAAAATAGCTTGTGTGTATGTGATGTGTACATACCGAGTGTATGGGGAAGAGGGTGTAAATATAGATACATATAGAGAGGGGATATATGATGTGTTACAGTGTAAAGGAAAAATTTCAATCATATGAGTTTGGGATGGCCACATTACTCATGTCTGGAGTCATGCAGGGCATCCCAAATATTGGCTGATAATACCTTAATATCATTACGTATTCTGTACATGCAACACATCTTTCACACAAAAACTATTGCAGAAATATTATTGAGTTTTTGGGGAGGGGGTTAATTCTATTGGGATTACTTTTGATACTTCATCTGTAAAGTCAAGTGCCTTAGTTGCCGCACATACAACTGCACAGAGGTCAAAGGAAAAGAAAAAATACTAAAATGTTTAAAAGACCAAAAACTTTTTTTCTGTATATAAAAATATGACAGATTTAAAGTCTGATATCTTGAAACCATTCAGGGTTCAAAGCAAGTGATAAGTATCCCATGGGAAAGCTTAGAATATTCCCTTACAGTGGTACAAAGTTCCTGCGTCAAGCTATGATGTGAGTTCATAATAGCACTTAAATCTGCCGTTATGTAGGTCTGAAGGGTGACTAACCTGAGCTTTAGATAAGTGAAATTAGCGGGAGGTGGGGAGGTAAGAGGAAGAAAACTACATCTGGGAAAAAAGGAAATATTTCTGAGGAAGATTGATAATTTCTAAATGGCAGCTCTTGAAATGCTAAAATGAATCCTGGAAATGCTAAAATGAATCCTGGAAATAAGGATTATTAGTAAAAGTGTGAATGATGCCATCAAAGATTCATGAAAATTATAGTATAATTCTTATGTGGTTATCACTATTGTATATTGGCTACGTGCATGTGTTAGTGGGTTCATGCATTGTACATGTGAATATGTACACATGCAAAAAGGAATGTTCATCATCATATGTATATATATGTGTGTGTATAAAAGGTGAGTAATTTTGCATAGCCAAAAAAAGTAAAATTTTTCAAATTTCAAAATCTAGAAGCTAATTTTGTCTAGAACATACAGTTTTCAAAACTGCCATAGGATGGTCATTGCTTTCCAAAGTTAACAGTCTTAGATCTGGAGATAGTAATTCGTTTACATTGTGGTTAGTTCAGTTTTTCACTCAGTGATACTGTGTTACAGTATGATAGTGTCTGCACAGTAAAGAATTATTATACTGTGGGATAGTTACCAGACAATATCCTCTGACACAATCAAAACATGGTAAGGAAATACACTATATACAGGATCAACCTATGTTCTTGAAACATAATACATCTCCACAAAGTTCCAGGCAGTAACACAGTTCAAACAAGTTTTGTATAGCATTGTTTGGCTACAGCTGGAAAACTTTTTCAACCAATATTATAATGAAGTTCTTGAGCTCAGTAGTGTTAACATGTAAATGAGACTTCATGTATAATTAAAGGGTCAGATGCTCGGTTAGTATGTGTCAGCACATCTTCACCGAAGACAATGGAGCTGTGCTGATTTGCCCCAATTGAAGATCTAGCTCAATTGGTCTACAATGTTTTTACAAATAAAGCACAAATCATCTCATGTGGGGCTGAAGGATCACTACTTCCACCCACACAGTTTTCTGTTCCTAGTACCAGTTCAACATAGTGGGATCCTGGGGGAGAAAGATAACAGAAGGACTGTTGCAGATTCATGAAGTGAAAAAAGAAAGGCTCGGGTGCCTTTAGGAAGACTATAAGGACAGGGATGCTTCATGGGGATAGATGCGAGAAAACTTTAAGTATGGCTAAGTTCGGATAAGTATTTGAACTTTTGGATAATTATCTGAATTGATCCTCTGAACTCTCTGAGGTTTGCCTGCCACTGATTAGCACTGCACTGACTCACTCATTATGGATTATGTTGAGGAAGTTTAATTCAGACCTTAATTATACTAGTTTTTAGTGGCTTATAGAAAAAATACATAATCAGGAATAATGATTTTTCCTTTTGTTCAGAAATATCATAATCTTGTTGAAGCATATATAGTGCACTTGAGTTTTGCATTAGATTTATTTGCTTAGAAATACTGTAAGAGGGGTTAATAAGGGAGGCTTTTTCTTAGAGTGAGCTGGAGTTTATATAATTTAAAATGCATCAGATTTGTTAATACCTAATAGTAAGATCAAAATGTACATTAATGTGTAGAATACATCATGACATTTTCTAATATTATGACAGCAGAATGCAGTTCAGAGGTTTGTGTTGTAGCTGAAAATGAACTTTGTCATTTTGTGCATGATCTGTTCTTCCACAGGCTTGGAATTTCTTGTCCCATTTGCCAGTTATAGATGTTAGTTTGAGCATTAGAGGATGCTGGAATGGCTCATCTGGGGAGCAGAATGAACTGCCTATCCCTACTCTGGCAACAGATATGAGAGATGACAAAAAGTGGATCACTTTACATGCTGATCAAGAATATGTCCTCCAGATAAACTTGCAGAGAGTCCAAATGAGGCATCACAAGGTAGGGTATTCATAATTTTCGTTCTGTAATATACCAGATTTTGATACTTAGTCACTAAGTTACTGGAAGTGTAGTGTACATACAGTAAGTTTCTATTGTACTATTAATGCTTTTGTAAAAATCATTAGTGCTGAGGTAGCTGGCTCAGGCTTTAAGATCAGGGTTTGACTTCTACCTTGCAAGAATGTCATCCTAAAAGTACCTTTCTTTTCCAAACAATAGCACTGATTGTAAAGGCAGCATGATCAGACTCTGCATGAAGCTTCCTTGCTTTGTTAGTGCTTTTTTTTCTTCCTGTGGATTGTTAGCAAAACCTTTCCATCTGTAGTACACTAAGTGAATGCTGAGTGAGTGTGCATCATTATTAATACATTCAGCTTCCAGAAATAAAGTCACCTGTCTTAAAGAATCACAGAAATAATCTTCCAATTTGCTACATCAACCTAAAATAAAGACTTCAAGTATTGTCATTGCCTTTATACTAATCTCAGACAATGTTGATTAATTTTATTTAAAAATGCTAAGAATACAATCAGCCATTTTTGAGAAAATAGCAATCACCGTGTTTTAAATGAAATTGTCAAAAGAAGCAGATTTTTAATTCATAATTTGATTTCTTAAAAAATAAATATAAACCCATTCAACAATATATGGAATAATATTACGTTTATTGGGTTTTCTCTTTTGTATGTTCCTGTGGATAACTTTTTTCCAAAAGGCTGTTTCTAAAAAAATGACAAAAGTGTTCTTGTTCAGTTCAAGTTTTCTGTAAAATATGTATCATCTTGTCCATTATGGTGGTGGTGCTCTTCAAAGACAAATGATGGTTTGAGTGGAAGATGCCCAGTTGTATTCACTTGTATTTTCTGCCTAGCAGGGAAGGCAAGACAGTAAAGCAGTTGCTCCTCGATTCCCCAAAGCCAAAGATGAAGGATGGTTTTTGATACTGGGAGAAATAGATAAAAAAGAACTCATTGCCCTGAAAAGAGTTGGATATGTCCGACATCGAAATGCTGTCTCAGTTGCTTTTTTTACTCCAGAGTCTCCTGGAAAGTAAGATGAGCTTTGAATTAAAATTATCCAGTAGTTTGACTTTAAATGTTGACATATTGGAAAAAAAAAATTGATGCTACTCCTATTATGTTTTAGGTATATCTACACATTGTATATCATGAGTGACAGTTATCTTGGAATGGACCAACAGTATGACATTTATCTGAACATCAAACCACCTAGCATTTCAGCACAGATCAGCACTGAGGTCTCTGAAGCTGTAAGTCACCTGGCTCTGAAGTAACATGACCTGAACAATCCATTTCAAAGGAGCGGTCTTGAAATCTGTTCAGTCATTCTGGACAAGAAAGAAATTATGTTTGCCTTAGTCGAATCAACTTCTAACCTCAAGACACCTAAGAAATTGGAAGTGACTGCTGTATTGACTCTAGTAACACAGAGTTAGCCATGGTGGCCTTAACCTTTTACAAAATGTTGCCTTTTATCATTTCATTTTTGTATCATCCTTGAAATGTAAAACGGATCTCTTGTATTGTTAATGTAAATGCCAAAATTGTATGTTGGCAGTTCAGAATAAGAAAAGTAATAGCTATTTTAATTTGTACACATTTAGTGTTCTAGTCTTCATATGTAAATGATTAATCTGTAGCCAGTGTTGGTATTGTTTAAATGATTTTTTTCTTAATTTATGAGGAGAATTCAAAATTTGAACTAGGAATTGCAAGAAAGTATTGCTAATATATTTAGTGTGTACGACATATCTGTAAGAAATTATCTACCCTAGACCTTTCAATGTAAAATGTATAGGATATATAGTGATAAAAATCAACTCTTAAGCATACCATATGTTTTGAAGGTAGGAACATTTTTAAAAATTTGTGTTCATTATACATTCAATAAATCTGGTTGTAAAGTCATGGCAACTAATCAAGCAGTTGATTTCAAAATGAACAAACCATACAAATACGTTGCTTATAAATTTATCTTTTCACTAATTTCCTGAAGATTAATGCTTTTCTGAATTCTTTAGAATGAGTATCTGACCTGTTTATTACTTTATTTTGCCATTCTAGTGTAATACACTCACTGCAGGACCCAATACCCCCTAATGAAAATAGAATTTTTCAAACCTTTGTAAACAAAATACCTTGTTAAAAAGTGTTAAGATTGAGAAGGTTTCAGGGAAATCTAGCCACACACAAAAGCCAATTTTATTTTGTTACAAAAATTTTTGTTAACATTCAAAAACACACACACGTGAATGTTCAGACATTCACGCAATATACCTATTTTTGGCATTTTGCTTATACTTTGTCTGAATGGTATTATGTCCTGTATTTAGATTGTAAGCTCTTTGGATCAGAGACTATCCCGTGTGTGTGTATTAAATCTCACACATTGAAGGTTGCTGCAGTACAAATGATAGATAATCCTTCCTAGCTTCTCTTTTGGTTTTGCTTGTAACCTTGAATGAAGAGATTTGCAGTTTCATTCTTCATTATCAATTACACCAACTGATTTTTATAAATATTTGGAAATCATAGTCCCTCTTATTTTTCTAATGTTTCTTGTGTGTTACAGCACAATCCATGTAACTAAATCTCTTAGCCAAAATTTTCAAACTCTGTCTTAAAGTTAGACCTCTAAATCCCATATTTACTAGAAGTAGCCTGACTTTCAAAGACATTAAGGTACCCCCACTTTCAAATGTCAGGCCACTTCTAAGTAGATGACTGAATATGGATGCAGGAGCCTAATTTTGGGCACTCGGGTTTGAAAATGAAAGTCCTCACTTTTAGTTAATAGTAAGTGGTTTCCCCAGCAGTTTTGCTGTCACTTTCATTATAGTTCATGTAGCCAAAACATGGAATGCAGTGAAGAGCCACTGCCTGCTAGCTTCCTGAAGAAAATGATGCAGACTGTGCTATAGGCATAAGTTTGTGCCTACAGTGCAGTAAAGAGAAGTCCAGCTGTTCTTGCAAATCCTAGTGGCATGCTCTAAAATTTAAGAAAGAAGGTGGGGGAGGAGATTCTTATCCTGTGGTTCAGAGATCTTCAGATGAATGTGCCTCTCCTGTATTCAATTTACAACTAACAATTAAATTTAAATTGAAGAAATCATGACTATTTCTTTTTATAGATGAATATATTTTAGGGATGTTAAAATGGTTAACCAATTAAACAATAGCAGTTAACCATTTCAACCTATGGCCTGCCACTGGGCCTGCCGCAACTCTGCAGTCCCACCACTAGCCCCACTGTGGCTGAAGGGTTCCTCCTCCCGAGTGTAGCTGGTCACCGCTGGAGTTAACTGGCATGGGCTGGTTAACCAGTTAACTGGTAAACGTACCAGTAAGCCTCATTCTTACTGGTATTCTTACCAGTTAACATCCCTAGTATATTTGAGTATTTTTAGATATAACATTCAATGAAATGTAATTATATATTTCACTTTATTGCAAAAGACCTCAAAATGATGACGACAATGTTAAGACAGGAAAATTTTGTAATGAAACAAGGAGTTTATCAACATCTATTCTAGCCTGCTTCACCTTTAAGATAAGACTATATCCCATGTAGTTTTGGAATAATTAGACAAAACTTCACTCATTCACCCAGATACTTTAGAAAAATGTATTTCCGTGAAAACCATATTACCATGCAAGTGACTTTCAGAGAAACTGAGACACAGTTCTTAAAGGAAATCCTTGGATTACAGCAAACATTTTCTGTCAAGAGTTCTAGTTAATTAGAAGAAGTACAGCTCTGCCATGATCACATAATATACCATGGTGATGATCTTGGCTCTTACCAACTTTGCAAATAGCATGTCACAAAAAATGTGTTCTGAATCTGAGTTATACATCTTTTTTGTAATATCTTCAGTGTTCTGTCTGAACTGATTGGAGTTTTTCAAGCTGGAAATCAGTCATATGATTTGGACTTCTGTTTCATCCTTTAGTAGTGATTGCCTACCATGTTAAATGTTTTTTGATAGTTCAGTCTGTCTCTAAATAATATATTTGAAACACTCTTGGGAGTTCATTGCAAAAATATTGGATTTATAAGGACAGAATCTGAAAGAATGCAATATGAAGTGAAGCAAATTGATTGGAATCAGCTTGTATCTAAAATATCTACTATGGGAAATTATGCAGCATTTAAAACAACTGTTCAGAAGGAACAACCAATATATTCAATCCAAAGAGATCTAAGGGTGAAAAGAGAGAGTGACAGTGACTAGTTTTAACAAGGTTGTGAAAATCAGACACACAAGGAGCAGAAAACCGGTACAAATTATCTATCCTGTTTTGTGAAGAAGCTGTCACTACTGTGGGTGAATGGATGAGTTGTCCTCCTCAGAAAGGCTGGTGATCACCAATCCAGATGCAAGATTTTAATGCCCAGTTTCTTGATCCAGTTTTCAGGCAAGCTTCCCAATTGTTCTCTGCTGAAAATAGGTGCAGTTGGTGTACTCTGCTGAAGTGCCATCCTTTCTTCCAGGCCACAGAGTGACCTACTTCAGACAAGGCCAAAAGAGAATTTCTTCCCAGAAAAAGGCAGAGAACACCCTCCAGTTGGATGTGTCAGTGGGTCCAGTTGGATGTGTCAGTGGGTTCAGAGGGTCCAAGACTTCAAGCTGCAGCCCAAGCCCAGAAGTTGACACAGAAGTGAAACAATCCCAGGCATTCTCTACACTTAGTGGGAGTCCAGCGCTCGAGGAATTGAGCTCCCTGGGATTGATTTAAAGACCCGCTAAATCGACTGCTGATCGTACTTCCATTGAGTCCAGTACACCATTGTATCGAGAAGAGTAAGGAGAGTCAACAGGAGAGTTTCTCCCATTGACTCCCACAGCAGAAATGCCACGGTAACTCAAACTAAGGTATGTTGACTGCAGCTATGTTATTCACGTAACTGGAATTGAATACCTTACTTCAATATTGCCTCCTAATGTAGACCTAGCCTAAGTTAGCTGGCGTGGACCAGCTGCCTTTTTTTTTCTGTGTAGACATACCCTGAGCACCGTTGGAGGTGCTGCAGGGGGTCCCATCTCTTCTTAATGAATTTCCTTAGGAAAGTCTCTTATCTTGGGTTCTTTATTATCTCTTCTTCCAACTTGGACTATTTGGATGGTCATAAATGCATCTGCTTTGGGATGAGCTTTGCTGTTCCAGTTTTTTTCTGCATTGAATATTGTGTTTCCAGGGCCACCTCCTCAGCTAAGAGAACTGAGGAGCTTGCTCTCCTACTTAGGAATCTCCTGCACCTCATTTTGTATAAAATAGATCTGAATGTCCCTGTGTTTTCTAACAGAGATGGTCTCTGCCCTTCCAGGAGGTCTTGTTCCACAACTTCTGTGATAGTCCCAAGGCCAGATTTTGAGGTACACTTGAACTTTTTTAATCCGGCAACCCTGGATAACAGGGTATACCAGATAAAAGAATTTTTTGGACCATGGGAGGGTGCTGGATCAGGACCTAAGAAGGAAGGAAGTTGAGTGAGGGAAATGGGGTGGTTAACTGGTGCCCTGGGAGCACTCATGACTTTGTGCCCTATGGGAGCAGTGAGGAAAAGCCTCCAGAAAAATGTTGCTTTGGTGCACTACCATTCCCCTAGATGGGGTGGGAGGGAAGGGGAGTGGCAGAGCACCAAGACACTTCCTCCGCCACCTGCTGGGATCTCTCAACCATGGGTATTCCTGGATAAGGGACACCCAGATTAAGGAGGTTCAGGTATACTAGAGTCTTTCTTCCATGAAATGAATCTTTCTAGGATTCCAGGTATTTGTACTGTCTGAAGGGCCTGTGTGGGGTACACAAACCCCACATTCAGATGGAAGGGGTTAAAGGACAGTACTCAGCACAGTGATCCCTACTCCCCAACCTTGCAGGGCATGATCCAGTTGGAGACAGGATTAAAATGGGAGCAATACAGCTCAGAAGGCTGGAAGCTGGGGCAAAGCAGAGACCTACCATGAAGACTGCCAAAGAGAGCTAGAGAGACCTTGAAGTACCAGCACTGTATGTTGTGCCCAATTGGAGCTGATGATTTCGGTTTCCTGAACCTGTGAAAGAGCCATTCTAGTGGTAATGAAGCCATTTAACAGGCATTTGCCTACCCTAGGTATGTACTGTCAGTTTCTGAATTTGCTGTGTTAGTCTACAGGATATTAGTTTAAAATTTGTTTTAAAAATATTTCATTGGTGTGTTATTGAAGATTGTAAAATCACATCTCTTAAAAAAAAAAATCCTCCCTCCTCCTCTCTTCCCTGAAGCTACCGTTGGGCACAGGGGCATCAGTCTAGTAGTACTATGTAGGGCACTATAAATCCTAAGGATGGCCCTGCCGGGCTGCCTAACTGACCTGAAAAGAACTTACTCATACTGGTGTATTTCACCTCATCTATTGTACCTAGTGAGGTTGTGTAAGAAAATTAAATAGTTTAAAACCTAAATAATTTTCATAAAATAATTGATAAACCAAATAGGAAAGGGGGACTCTGAGAGCACCCCAAAGATCTGCAATAATAGTAATAATGCACTTGCTATGCAGCCAGAATAGATCAAGGATAAAATGATCATCCTTCTTTCTAAGAAGAATAATGAAGAACACAGACAAAAAGAAGGAAATGTCAAATTATAATTGCATCCATTTTTATAAAATGATAGGGGAGGAGACTTTGTCTAAAACAAAGCTTGACTATCATGGTGCAGAAGATGAGAGTTAAGCGCATATGAAAATGACACCAAAGATGCTAATTAGGCTGGAAGGTTAGAGGTTCCTAAAAAATTACATTCTATCCAATGCAGTTGACATAGAGCCAAGACTCTACATGGTTAGAAGCAGAGAGAGAAATTAGAAATTCAGTATTAAATAGGAAATCCCAGGGTACTGCCAAGTGCCATTCTTTTA